GCGTGTACGTGCGAGTGCGTGTGAGTGCGAATGCATGTGAGTGTGAGAGCGTGTGAGTGCGAATGCGTGTGAGTGCGAGTGCGTGTGAGTGCGAGTGCATGTGAGTGCGAGTGCGTGCGAGTGCGAGTGCGTGCGAGTGCCAGTGCATGCGAGTGCGAGTGCGTGCGAGTGCGTGTGAGTGCGAGTACATGTGAGTGCGAGTGCGTGTGAGTGCGAGTGCGTATGAGTGCGAGTGCGTGTGAGTGCGAGTGCGTGTACGTGCGAGTGCGTGTGAGTGCGAGTGCGTGTGAGTGCGAGTGCGTGTGAGTGCGAGTGCGTGTGAATGCGAGTGCGTGTGAGTGTGAGTGCGTGTGAGTGCGAGCGCGTGTGAGTGCGAGCGCGTGTGAGAGCGAGTGCGTACGAGTGCGTGTGAGTACGAGTGCGTATGAGTGTGAGTGCATGTGAGGGCGAGTGCATGTACGTGCGAGTGCGTGTGAGTGCGAGTGCGTGTGAGTGCGAGTGCGTGTGAGTGTGAGTGCATCTGAGTGTGAGCGGGTGAGAGTGCGAGTGCGTGTGAGTGCGAGTACGTATGAGTGCAAGTGCGTGTGAGTGCGAGTGCGTGTGATTGCGTGTGAGTGCGAGTGCGTGCACGTGCGAGTGCGTGTACATGCGAGTGCGTGTGAGTGCGAGTGCGTGTGAGTGCGAGTGTGTGTGAGTGTGAGTGCGTGTGAGTGCGAGTGCGTGTGAGTGCGAGTGCGTGCGAGTGCGTGTACGTGCGTGCGAGTGCCAGTGCGTGCGAGTGCGAGTGCGTGCGAGTGCGTGTGAGTGCGAGTGCGTGTGAGTGCGAGTGCATGTGAGTGCGAGTGCGTGTGAGTGCGAGTGCGTGTGAGTGCGAGTGCGTGTGAGTGCGAGTAGGTGTGAGTGCTAGTGCGTGTGAGTGCGAGTGCGTGCGAGTGCGAGTGCGTGTGAGTGCGGGTGCGTGTGAGTGCGAGTGCGTGTGAGTGCGAGTGCGTTTACGTGCGAGTGCGTGTGAGTGCGAGTGCGTGTGAGTGCGAGTGCGTGTGAGTGCGAGTGCCTGTGAGTGCGAGTGCCTGTGAGTGCGAGTGCATGTGAGTGCGAGTGCGTGTGAGTGTGAGTGCGTGTGAGTGCGAGCGCGTGTGAGTGCGAGTGCATACGAGTGCGTGTGAGAGCGAGTACGTATGAGTGTGAGTGCATGTGAGTGCGAGTGCGTGTACGTGCGAGTGCGTGTGAGTGCGAGTGCGTGTGAGTGTGAGTGCGTGTGAGTGCGAGTGCGTGTGAGTGCGAGTGCGTGTGAGTGCGAGTGCGTGTGAGTGCGAGTGCATGTGAGTGTGAGTGCGTGTGAGTGCGAGCGCGTGTGAGTGCGAGCGCATGTGAGAGCGAGTGCGTACGAGTGCATGTGAGTGCGAGTGAGTATGAGTGTGAGTGCATGTGAGTGCGAGTGCGTGTACGTGCGAGTGCGTGTGAGTGCGAGTGCGTGTGAGTGCGAGTGCGTGTGAGTGTGAATGCGTCTGAGTGTAAGCGCGCGAGAGAGCGAGTGCATGTGAGTGCGAGTGCGTATGAGTGCAATTGCGTGTGAGTGCGAGTGCGTGTGAGTGCGAGTGCGTGTGAGTGCGAGTGCATCTGAGTGCGAGCGCGTGAAAGTGCGAGTGCGTGCGAGTGCGAGTGCGTGTGAGTGCGAGTGCGTGTGAGTGCGAGTGCGTGCGAGTGCGAGTGCGTGTGAGTGCGAGTGCGTGTGACTGCGAGTGCGTGTGAGTGCGAGTGCGTATGAGTGCGAGTGCATGTGAGTGCGAGTGCGTGTGATTGCGTGTGAGTGCGAGTGCGTGTACGTGCGAGTGCGTGTACATGCGAGTGCGTGTGAGTGCGAGTGCGTGTGAGTGTGAGAGCGTGTGAGTGCGAGTGCGTGTGAGTGCGAGTGCGTGCGAGTGCCAGTGCGTGCGAGTGCCAGTGCGTGCGAGTGCGAGTGCGTGCGAGTGCGTGCGAGTGCGTGTGAGTGCGAGTGCATGTGAGTGCGAGTGCGTGTGAGTGCGAGTGCGTATGAGTGCGAGTGCGTGTACGTGCGCGTGCGTGTACATGCAAGTGCGTGTGAGTGCGAGTGCGTGTGAGTGTGAGAGCGTGTGAGTGCGAGTGCGTGTGAGTGCGAGTGCGTGTGAGTGCGAGTGCATGTGAGTGCGAGTGCGTGCGAGTGCGAGTGCGTGTGAGTGCGAGCACGTGTGAGTGCGAGCGCGTGTGAGAGCGAGAGCGTACGAGTGCGTGTGAGTACGAGTGCGTATGAGTGTGAGTGCATGTGAGTGCGAGTGCATGTACGTGCGAGTGCATGTGAGTGCGAGTGCGTGTGAGTGCGAGTGCGTGTGAGTGTGAGTGCATCTGAGTGTGAGCGCGTGAGAGTGCGAGTGCGTGTGAGTGCGAGTGCGTATGAGTGTGAGTGCGTGTGAGTGCGAGTGCGTGCGTGTGATTGCGTGTGAGTGCGAGTGCGTGTACGTGCGAGTGCGTGTACATGCGAGTGCGTGTGAGTGCGAGTGCGTGTGAGTGCGAGTGTGTGTGAGTGTGAGTGCGTGTGAGTGCGAGTGCGTGTGAGTGCGAGTGCGTGTGAGTGCGAGTGCGTCTGAGTGTAAGCGCGTGAGAGCGCGAGTGTGTGCTAGTGCGAGTGCGTGTGAGTGCGATTGCGTGTGAGTGCGAGTGCGTGTGATTGTGTGTGAGTGCGAGTGCGTGTACGCGCGAGTGCGTGTACATGCGAGTGCGTGTGAGTGCGAGTGCGTGTGAGTGCGAGAGCGTGTGAGTGTGAGTGAGTGTGAGTGCGATTGCGTGTGAGTGCGAGTGCGTGTGAGTGCGAGTGCGTGCGAGTGCGTGTACGTGCGTGCGAGTACCAGTGCATGCGAGTGCGAGTGCGTGCGAGTGCGTGTGAGTGCGAGTGCGTGTGAGTGCTAGTGCATGTGAGTGCGAGTACGTGTGAGTGCGAGTGCGTGTGAGTGCGAGTGCGTGTGAGTGCGAGTACGTGTGAGTGCGAGTGCGTGTGAGCGCGAGTGCGTGCGAGTGCGAGTGCGTGTGAGTGCGAGTGCGTGTGAGTGCAAGTGCGTGTGAGTGCGAGTGCGTGTACGTGCGAGTGCGTGTGAGTGCGACTGCGTGTGAGTGCGAGTGCGTGTGAGTGCGAGTGCGTGTGAGTGCAAGTGCCTGTGAGTGCGAGTGCATGTCAGTGCGAGTGCGTGTGAGTGTGAGTGCGTGTGAGTGCGAGCGCGTGTGAGTGCGAGTGCGTACGAGTGCGTGTGAGAGCGAGTGCGTATGAGTGTGAGTGCATGTGAGTGCGAGTGCGTGTACGTGCGAGTGCGTGTGAGTGCGAGTGCGTGTACGTGCGAGTGTGTGTAAGTGTGAGTGCGTGTGAGTGCGAGCGCGTGTGAGTGCGAGAGCGTGTGAGTGCGAGTGCGTGTGAGTGCGAGTGCGTGTGAGTGCGAGTGCGTGCGAGTGCGTGTACGTGCGTGCGAGTGCCAGTGCGTGCGAGTGCGAGTGCGTGCGAGTGCGTGTGAGTGCAAGTGCGTGTGAGTGCGAGTGCGTGTGAGTGCGAGTGCGTATGAGTGCGAGTGCGAGTGCGTGCGAGTGCGTGTGATTGCGTGTGAGTGCGAGTGCGTGTGAGTGCGAGTGCGAGTGAGTGCGAGTGCGTGTGAGTGCGAGTGCGTGTAAGTGCGAGCGCGTGTGAGAGCGAGTGCGTGTACATGCGAGTGCGTGTGAGTGCGAGTGCGTATGAGTGCGAGTGCATGTGAGTGCGAGTGCGTGGGAGTGTGAGAGCGTGTGAGTGCGAGTGCGTGTGAGTGCGAGTGCGTGTGAGTGCGAGTACGTCTGAGTGCGAGTGCGTGTGATTGCGTGTGAGTGCGAGTGCGTGTACGTGCGAGTGCGTGTACATGTGAGTGCGTGTGAGTGCGAGTGCGTGTGAGTGCGAGTGCGTGTGAGTGCGAGTGCGTGTGAGTGTGAGTGTGTGTGAGTGCGAGTGCGTGTGAGTGCGAGTGCGTGTGAGTGCGAGAGCGTGTGAGTGCGAGTGCGTGTGAGTGCGAGTGCGTGTGAGTGCGAGTGCGTCTGAGTGCGAGCGCGTGAAAGTGCGAGTGCGTGCGAGTGCGAGTGCGTGTGAGTGCGAGTGCGGGTGGGTGTGAGTGCGTGTGAGTGCGAGTGCGTCTGAGTGCGAGTGCGTGTGATTGCGTGTACGTGCGAGTGTGTGTACATGCGAGTGCGTGTGAGTGCGAGTGCGTGTGAGTGTGAGAGCGTGTGAGTGCGAGTGCGTGTGAGTGCGAGAGCGTGTGAGTGCGAGTGCGTGTGAGTGCGAGTGCGTATGAGTGCGAGTGCATGTGAGTGTGAGTGCATGTACGTGCGAGTGCGTGTGAGTGCGAGTGCGTGTGGGTGTGAGTGCGTCTGAGTGTGAGCGCATGAGACTGCGAGTGTGTGTGAGTGCGAGTGCGTATGAGTGCGAGTGCGAGTGCGTGCGAGTGCATGTGATTGCGTGTGAGTGCGAGTGCGTGTGAGTGCGAGTGCGTGTGAGTGCGAGTGCGTGTGAGTGCGAGTGCGTAGTGCGAGTGCGTGTGAGTGCGAGTGCGTGTGAGTGCGAGTGCGTGTGAGTGCGAGTGCGTGTGAGTGCGAGTGCGTGTGAGTGCGAGTGCGTGTGAGTGGGAGTGCCTGTGAGTGTGAGCGCGAGTGAGTGCGAGTGCGTGTGAGTGCGAGTGCGTGTGAGTCTGAGTGTGTGTACGTGCGAGTGCGAGTGAGTGCAAGTGCGTGTGAGTGCGAGGGCGTGTGAGTGCGAGTGCGTGTGAGTGTGAGTGCGTGTGAGTGTGAGAGCGTGTGAGTGCGAGCGCGTGTGAGTGCGAGTGCGTGGGAGTGTGAGCGCGTGTGAGTGCGAGTGCGTGTGAGTTCGAGTGCGTGTGAGTGCGAGTGCGTGTGAGTGCGAGTGCGTGTGAGTGTGAGTGCGTGTGAGTGCGAGTGCGTGTGTGCATGAGAGCCTCACCCGTCCAACGAAGCGGAAGATGTCAGCGGAGATGGCAGAGGCCAGGCGCCTGGGCGCACGCGACACTGAGAACGCCACGCGCTGCCGCACTGCCAGCGCGTGTGACTGAGTGGGGGGAAGAGGAGTGGGGAGGGGCGGGCGTGTGGAAGGAGAAACGGTGGCAGCAGGGTGGGGTCTGAGGGGCGGAGAAGGCCAGCGAGGGGTGCGAGGGGCGGAGAAGGCCAGCGAGGGGTGCGAGGGGCGGAGAAGGCCAGCGAGGGGTGCGAGGGGCGGCTGCGGACAGCGAGAGGACGCAGGGCATGGACGGGCAGAGAGGGTGGCGGGGCGGTGGAAAGGCAGGAGGAGCATGTGGTTCTATAAGTGAGGGGAGAGGGTGGATGGCGAGGGGCAGAACGGGCAGAGGTGGCAGAGTGTGATGCATGCACATGTGATGTGATGCATGCACATGTGATGTGATGCATGCACATGTGATGTGATGCATGCACATGTGATGTGATGCATGCACATGTGATGTGATGCATGCACATGTGATGTGATGCATGCACATGTGATGTGATGCATGCACATGTGATGCATGCGAACGGAGACGGAGGCAAAAAAGGCAGAGAGAAGTTTAAGAGGTGGATGAAGATGGCGTGGAGGAGAACTGGGCCAATGGATGGGGCAGTGAATGCCATACCTCACCATGAATGCCATACCTCACCATGAATGCCATACCTCCCCGTGAATGCCATACCTCGCCATGAATGCCATACCTCGCCATGAATGCCATACCTCGCCATGAATGCCATACCTCGCCATGAATGCCATACCTCGCCATGAATACCATACCTCGCCATGAATGCTATACCTCGCCATGAATGCCATACCTCGCCGTGAATGCCATACCTCGCCATGAATGCCATACCTCGCCGTGAATGCCATACCTCGCCGTGAATGCCATACCTCGCCGTGAATGCCATACCTCGCCGTGAATGGCTCGGAAGACGTTGTCTGGTTTGAGCGTGTTGAGAAACTTTGTCATCTCCTCCTGCCCATGCACACACACACACCCTCACTCACACCCCCCCACACACCAATCACCCCCCCACACACCAATCACTCCCCAAAAACCAATCACCCCCCACACACCAATCACCCCCCCACACATCAATCACTCCCCACACACCAATCACCCCCCACACATCAATCACTCCCCACACACCAATCACCCCCCACACATCAATCACTCCCCACACACCAATCACCCCCCACACATCAATCACTACCCACACACCAATCACCCCCCACACACACCAATCATCCCCCACACATCAATACCCGCCCACACACCAATGCCCCCCCACACACCAATGCCCCTCATGGCATGGCATGGCAGCAGCAGGGAGAGGGAGAACGCAAGTGAGGGAGAATGGCGGCATGGGTGGCACGAGTGGAGTGAGCACGGCAGGGGGACACACGGGTGGTGAGCACGGCAGGGGGACACACGGGTGAGTGGGGGAGAAGGACGAAAGGGTTGGGCTGCCACCTTTCCGCTCCCCATTCCCAACACTCCCCTCGCCGCCTCCTCCTGCCATCCCCCCACGCCACTCGTCCTCTCATCCCTCTCTCCCAGATCGCCTCCGCCCTTCCGCCCGCCATCCCCCCCGCTCCCCCTCGTCTTTTCGCACGCCAATCTGCTCCCCCACCGCGCTCACTGCCCCCCGCGCTCGTAGCGCGGAGCTCACCGGCTGCACGCGGAGGTTGCTGTTGTCGTCGCGGTCGCCGTCGAACCCCACGAGCCGCACGTGCACGCGCGTCACCACCTCCACCTCCGCTAGCCGCCGCATCTTCGCCGCCAGTCCCGCGTCCTCCGCCGCGCCCTGCGCCCACCGCCGCTTGTCCGCCTCCGCCAGGCGCGCGAACGAGTCGTCGTCCGCCAGCGGATCCTCCGCCAGCCCGTTCAGGCGCGCCGCTGCCCCGCCGCTGCCGTGGGAGGCAGCGGTGGAATGCGGGAGGGGGAGGAGGAGCAGGAGCAGGAAGAGGAGCGGCATGGCGATGCCGCAGGTCGGCAGAGGCTCGCAGCGTGAATGGGCGAATGGGGCGCAGCGAGCGACGGTGACGCGACGTGAGCTCGTGGCGGCGTGCTGAACGATGTATGATCGCAGGATCGCAGGATCGCAGGATGCAATCAGATCGGATGATCACCAACGAAAATGGTGCGTGTTGTTCAGAGCACCGCCAACTTTTCGTTAACAGGACCACCTTATAACATGAAAGATTGCGCGAAAGTCAATTCAAACATATGATTACAATCAGTCCCAACGAAATGAAACCCTAGTATAGTGAACGTAGAAATTCACTACTGTAGTCTGCCCTTAGCGGGGATGCCCCGAAGGCATCGCATGAGTTGGGTTCGGCCCAAACCACTCCCAAGTCGCCCCCGCACCAATTGCCACAATTCCAACCCTCGGCCACCCCAAGGTCCTTGCCTAGCTAGGAAGGAATGCCCTATTTTTGCTCGCACTTTCTTTGTATTCTCAGCCTTTGTAATCACAGTCTCGTTAAATTATTCCGGGCACTCTGATAGTACAACTCATACCGTATGGCCCCGGATAGAAGCGCAGACATATTAAAAGCGAATACAATTCTATCTGGAGCAATCCGCTGCTAATATAACCAAAGGATATAAGTGGATAGGATAAGTCTTCTAAGTTGAAAGAAGACAATGAAGTCTTGGTAGTGACCTTGTTGATAATAGTTAGAAGAGAACAAGATGATTTAAGGATAAGAGTACAAAGGTATAAAAAGCAAAAGTAGCTAGCCATGTACCCTGAGGCGTACATTCCCTAATTATTTGAATTACATTGCTAAAGTAACCACGACTATTGCTCTATTTGACAGTGACCATACAGCATTGCGTAACTACCAAGTGCGGTTACTGAACAGTCAAGAGTCACGACCGTTGTGTCAGAACATTATAGCTTACATAGTTATGTAGGCTATAGTGGGGTATCCCATAGGGGGTACAACCCAATTAGGGTTTCCTATATGTACTCACTTCATTCATAGTTGATTCATTCTCGTTCTCATTCTCACATGGAATCAGAGCAGGTCCCCTCCTAGGGACTGTTCCTAGGGCCCACCGAAGGGCGCCTCGATTCGCGCTCTCCTTTTTTTTTTAGCGACCCGTTGTGTCGCCCCTAGCAGCCCGTCGCGCCGCCCTTACGGTCGCGCCGAGCCGACTTAGCGGCGGGCGCGCCGCCCTTGCAGCGGCCTGTCGCGCCGCCCTACCTCGCGGCCCCACCGCCCCATCGCGCGGCCTCGCCGCCCTACTCCTGCGGCCCCGCCGCCCTACGTCGCGGCCCCGCAGCCCTACGCCGACGGCCCCGCCGCCCTACTCACGCGGCCCCGCCGCCCTACTCCTGCGGCCCCGCCGCCCTACGTCGCGGCCCCGCCGCCCTACATCCCGGCGGCCCCGCCGCCCTACTCACGCGGCCCCGCCGCCCTACTCCTGCGGCCCCGCCGCCCTACGTCGCGGCCCCGCCGCCCTACATCCCGGCGGCCCCGCCGCCCTACGTCGCGGCCCCGCCGCCCTACTCCTACGGCCCCGCCGCCCTACGTCGCGGCCTCGCCGCCCTACTCCTGCGGCTCCGCCGCCCTACGTCGCCGCCCCGCCGCCCTACCTTTCGACGGCCCCGCCGCCCTACGTCGCGGCCCCGCCGCCCTACGCCGACGGCCCCGCCGCCCTACCTTTCGACGGCCCCGCCGCACTACGTCGCGGCCCCGCCGCCCTCCTCAGCGGCCCAGCCGCCCTTCTTGACGGCCCCGCCGCCCTACTCCCGCGGCCCCGCCGATCTACCTGCAGCCCACCTGCCGCCCTACCTGCGGCCCACCCGCCGCCCTACCCACGACCGCCGCGCCGCCCTGACCCAGCGCCACCGAGCCGCCCGACCGCCGAGCAGCCGAGCAGCCGAGCCGCCGAGCCGCCCAGCAGCCGAGCCGCCGAGCCGCCCAGCAGCCGAGCCGCCCAGCCGCCGAGCCACCCAGCAGCCGAGCCGCCCGACCGCCGAGCAGCCGAGCCGCCGAGCCGCCCAGCAGCCGAGCCGTCGAGCCGCCGAGCCGCCCAGCAGCCGAGCCGCCGAGCCGCCGAGCTGCCCAGCAGCCGAGCCGCCGAGCAGCCGAGCCGCCGAGCAACCGAGCCGCTGAGCAGCCGAGCCGCCTAGCAGCCGAACCGCCGGCCGCTGAGCTGCCCTACTTCCCGACCGCCCGATCTGCCCAGTCTGGTGAGCACAGAGCCTTTTTCACTGCACTGCTAGGCGTCTGTCGTCATGGCTACCCCTAGTGTCCTCGCTTTTGACGCTGAGGGTCGGGCCATTGACTTTGAGGTCTGGGTAGATGACCTGCAGCTGTTCTTACAGTGCGATAGGGCAGACGGCCTCTCTCTCTTTGACCTTACCTCTAGCGCTTCCCCTGCCCCTGATGCTGATGCTGACGCCACTGTTCGCTCCCAGTGGGCCACACGCGACGCGACTGCACGTCTTGCTGTGCGTCGCCACCTCCCTACCTCCGAGCGTGCGCACTTTAGTCAGTACAAGAGTGCTCAGACCTTGTACGACGCTGTAGTCGCACGCTACTCCTCCCCTACCACTGCTGCACTGAGCCGTCTCATGCTACCGTACCTCTTCCCTGACCTTGCTGCCTTTCCCACCGTAGCTGACCTCATTACGCACCTCCGCACTAGTGACACTCGCTACCGCGCTGCACTTCCTGCTGACTTCTACGCCAAGAACCCCCCCCCCATGTACGTCACTCTGTACTTCCTAGTCACTCGCCTTCCTGACTCCCTTCGCGTAGTCAGGGACCACTTTCTCTCAGTCTGTCCCACCACACTCACTTTCGACCTCCTCGAGAAGGCCCTCTTAGCAGTGGAGAAGAGTATAGTCGCTGTAGGAGCCTCTCGAGGTGACCCGAGCACCCCCATCTTTGAGGGGTGTTCCCCCTCCCCCCTGCTGCCCTCTGTTGCCTCTGCTGCTGCCGCCGACCTCCTTGGTCTTGAGTCGGTCGGTGCGGCGTCTGCCCCTAGCGGGAGACGCCGCCCTGGCAAGGGCAAGGGGGGCAGGGGAGCTGGAGGAGCGGGCGGTGGAGGTGGAGGTGGAGGCGGTGGGGGGAGTGGGGGTGGCGGTGGGAGAGGAGGTGGGGGTGGGGGGGTCGGTGGCGGCAGTGGAGGCGGAGGCAGCGGCGGCGGTGGCGGTGGGAGCGGAGGGGGCGGAGGAGGCGGCGGTGGAGGCGGCGGCGGAGACGGCGGCAGCAGTGGAGGCAGCGGTGGCGGTGGAGGCGGTGGGGGTGGCAGTGGAGCTGGTCGCGGGTCTTTGCAGAGGAGTGGCTCAGGTGGTGGCTCGCGCCAGCAGCAGCTGCGCGGTCGAGTCCTTGTCCCCTCAGCAGCTCCGGGAGTGGTACACTGCACGCCAGCGGGGTGGGGGTTTTGGTCCGTGCACCTACGTCCTACGCACCGGCGACCGTGCGGGTGAGCAGTGTGGGGGTGCGCACCCCTCCCAGCGCTACTTTGGCCGCCTGATGGACGTGTGGCGTCACCAGTTCCTGGAGGCCTCAGAGATCCCTCGCTGGGGCGAGCTGTCTAGGGCGGGTGTTGCCATCTTTGATCTTGACTTTGATGCTATTCTCTCTGCCATGTATGCTGTGTCTATTAGTGATGAGGGTGACTGTAACTGGTGTTTCCCGCCCGATCCGGGCATTGAGTCTGCTGCTTTGGGTACTGGTGAGGCTGCGGCGCTGCTGCTCTAGGTGCTAGTGTGTCTGCGTCCTCAGGTACTGGTGAGTCTGCGCTCTCAGATACTACGTCAGCTTCGGCCTCCCACACCTTCACCCTTGACTCTGGGGCGTCTCGCTCCTTCTTTCGGGATCGCACCACACTCACGCCGCTTAGTCGGCCGGTTGCGGTTTCCCTGGCTGACCCCTCTGGGGGTCCTGTCCTGTCTCGCTTCTCCACAGTCCTCCCATGTCCGGCGGCTCCCTCTGGCACCCTGTGTGGTCTCTACCTCCCCTCGTTCTCTACGAACTTGGTGAGTGGTGCTGACCTACAGGATGCGGGAGTCCACCAGTTCACCCCTGCTCGTCAGCGGGTGACGCACTGCACAGAGGCTAGCACAGGTCGACACCTGGCTACGTTTACCCGTCAGCCGGGGTCGAGCTTGTACACACTGACCACTGCGTCTCCCCCAGTTACTGCGTCTGGTCAGGTGTTTGCTGCAGCGTCCAGGTCTGGTCCTGAGTCTGCCCCCTGTTCGTGTCGTCTCCTGTCTCACGAGACTCTCCTCTGGCACCACCGCCTTGGCCACCCCTATCTGCTTCGGCTCAGAGGCATGGCCTCCCGTCTTCTTGTGTCTGGTCTCCCCCAGTCCCTCCCTCCCCTTCCTTAGGGCCCTGGCCCTTCCTGTGTCCCCTGTGTTGAGGGGCGCTAGCGTGCTGCCCCTCACTCCTCCCAGTTTCCTCCGACAGAGGCCTCGTTGCAGACGCTTCACATGGACGTGTGGGGCCCTGCCCGCGTCCGTGGACTCGGTCACGAGCGCTACTTCCTGTTGGTGGTTGACGACTACTCGCGTTACACCACAGTCTTCCCCTTGCGCAGCAAGGGTGATGTCACTGAGGTGCTGATCGACTGGATCCGCGCAGCTCGTCTCCAGCTCACGCAGAGCTTTGGCTCGGACTTTCCTGTTCTGCGTCTGCACTCGGACAGAGGCGGAGAGTTCTCCTCTGGCCTTCTGCGTGCCTACTGTTGTGCGCGAGGCATCCGTCAGACCTTCACGCTTCCGGACTCTTAGCAGCAAAATGTGAGCGCCGCATCGGCATGGTCATGGACGTCGCTCGTACGTCCATGATGCATGCGGCTGCCCCCCATTTTCTGTGGCCGTTTGCGGTTAGGTACGCAGCGCATCAGATCAACCTTCACCCTAGGGTCTCCCGACCGGAGACCTCCCCAGCCCTGCTGTGGACGGGGAAGGTTGGCGATGCGTCGGCGTTCCGGGTCAAGGGA